GGTGTATTTGCCACCCGGGCTCTCATGAGTTGGCTAATCGGCACACTCAACCAACTCCGGCGATAGACTTACCTCCACGTGGTGCACCATGGGAAACGTATACTCATACGCCAAAAAAGTCTATTAACTGGCAGTTGACCTCTCACTTCAAACTACCATCACCTCACTTTATGTCATATACGACTACTTTCACAGTACTCACCTCACCTTTTTTCCACCTTTGTGTCAGACTCTTTTACATCTCTGAAACACTGTTCTGTTCCCCCCAACCAACTCGTCTTTTTTGTCACTTTGATGTTCCGCCTCCCCTCTGTGAAGTCTGAAGTCAACTAAAGGGCTAATGATAACTGTCAAAACGCCTGCCATTTAATATAAATAAATAAATAAACTTCTGCAAATCGTAGAGGTAAAAGGAAACCGAAAAAGAAGAAGTTATTCGCAAGTTTAAAGCATCAGAAAAAAATTTAACGCTTAATAAAGTGCTCATAATGACATCTGCAGCAAAAGAACTGCAGATAGCCACTGACACCCTCGAATGCAAAAGAAAAAAAAACAATACCCAACAGAATTCATAAAAATAATTTATAGATTTGACAACTTCGTCCCCTCCCCCCCCCCCCCCCCCCCAATAACCATTACGAATGCAAGGGCGAGAAGAGGCCAACACCACTTCGGTTACACGGTGCCTTTGGTTGGACTATCAAACTCAGTTCGCGCATTGCAGTTCAGTGCACGAGTGAGTTCATGTCATACTGACTTGCTTAGAGTCCCTGTTTAACAGGTTGCCACATACAGGGCTCTAACCTACAGGAGTGCTCATTTTGGAGAATAGATATAAACGCGTGCGTGTGTGTGCCAGAGGCAAAATTTTTGCAATGCTGTGATGTCCAAAAAATTTACCAGTAGCTGCAAACAAAACAAGAAAAGATTCAAACAAAATTTGAGAATAAAAAGGCAATCTAATGCAATAGTGGCTAATTCGTGACTGAAGATTTCGCTGAAAGCTATAATCATCAGACGAGGATTATTCGATTACTACCTGAGGAGACTTCACAAAATTTTACAAATCGAATACCATTCCTCCTCCACCACCTCCTCAGGCATCTAGCGTATTATTGATCCCCAAAATCAATCCCATAAATCGGATTGCATTCAAACCGTACCAATAACAGATTATAGCCGCGCTCTAGCATTAGGCTACAGGTGAGTGAAATTTGAGATTTAAAATTTTCATCTTAGATTATATGATGTCTTTTTCGAAGTCAAATCAAATCCAATTCATGGACCGGCCGATGTCTTTCCACACAATGAAAGCCTTAATCAGGAGAGAATTCCATACCTCAAGGTGCAACGAACTTAAAGCTCGAACAAAGGAGAAACAGTGGACAGTGGCACTCTCCGATATAGCCGACTGGCCAAGAATTGAAGCCGTTGTTGAGTTTAGACTACGTACCGGACACGATTGCTTGGCAAAACATCTTCACAGATTGGGAGTATACACTCAACCCACATGCCCTCTATGTAACCTACAGGAGGAAATGGAGAAGACCCACCTGATTCGTTGTCCAGCTCTAAAGACAACTACGGAAAGCCAGAGATACTGGGAAGCAAGAAGACGGTTAATGAACTGCTATTAATTAACTGCTATATATGTACCTCCCACCCTTGGGGGAAGCTGAAGTCAAAGTTTAAGGGCTAATGATAAATATCATAAAGCCTGCCATTTGAAATAAATAAATGTACACCCCAACCGTTCAAATAACACAATCTTCCATTCACTTCATAAAAAGCGGTTTCATTTTAAAAATTGTGCCTACAACTTATAAAAATACGAAGACGTATAACGAATCATTTTAACAATGAACATTGAACGCAAATTTTTCATTCTGGCATTTCCTCTCCTTTCTTCTCATCTCCAGTAGTCTTCGGCAAACCCTTAGGTTCTGCGGGCTTTGACACGTCCTCGGTGAGTGTCACCAGTTGAAGAGCACGCCTTTCACCTGTCGCCTTTGAACGAACAACAATGGGTGGCGTCGTGAGAGATGGTGGTGGACAAGGCGACGCTGGCAAGGGTTGAGTAAGGAAACGACCGGCATTAGGAGTGACTGGAATTGGCTTGTGCGGTTTCTCTTGAGCCTCTGGCCCGAAGCTGATGTGGCGCTGTGGATTCAAATCCTCCACCGCTTTGGGAAGGGGTTTTAATCCACTTGGTTTTGTAGCTCTTTAAAAGGGAAAATGATGATTCAGTAGAATAGTAAGATAATCACTTCCGGCAATTAAGTTCAAAATCTGACAAGGATAAAATGCTATATGACAGCTGAAATATCAGAAGTATAACTTTTAGTGAAATGGGACTTGGGAGTTGTTTAAAAGAGCGTTCACACCTTTAGGGGAAGAGTACAGAATTTTTTAACCTATTTTATGAGGGCAACGTATACTCATACGGCAAAAAGTCTATTAACCGGCAGTTGACTTCTGACTTCAAAATACCATAACTCGACTATATGTCACATTCGACCACTTCACAGTACTCACTTCACCTTACCTTTTTCTCCACCTTTGTGCCTGTCTGTCTCTTTTACAACCCCGAAACACTCTTCTGTTACCCCTCTCGACTTTTTTGCGACTTTGAGGCTCCTCCACCCTATGGAATCCGAATTCAACTAAAGGGCTAATGATAATTATCATAAAGCTTGCCATTTGATACAAGCAAATTTTATGAGGACCTTAAAATTAAGGCAATGGTTTACCCTTCGAATGTCCTACTGATAACTGAAAAAACAGCACAATTAAATAGCTAACCGTAAAAATCGGCGTGTTTCGGAATATATCCTATTTTGGATCCAGTTATATGACAGACGATTGGTAAGGTCGAAATCGACAGCGACATGTTCATGCACGCGTAAGTAGACGTAGAGAACAAAATGTGGGTAAGGGAAGACGAATGAAGTGTCATCGGAAACCAATTATATTCCCTCAACGAAATGAAGGGCACAAAAAAAATACTTTAGGGGGCCCAGAACAAATGAGCATTCACCCAACTAACATGCTTATGTCGATTTAGGATAAAAAATTGAAATAATACTCATGCAAAACTACGAATGAGCTTTAGACATGACTACGAAATCCTGACTGAAAGCCAACACTGCACAAACACAAAAATGATGAAATAAATAAAATCGAATTTTAACCAAAAAGTGAATTCACTTCAATGAATGCTACCTTTAATTAATAATAAATCGATACCAATGGCAATGTACTCTCCAAGAAAAATCATCAAAGATGTCCCTAATAAAAACACTTTTAAGAGTCAAGAAAGTAGCGATAGAAAAAAAATTCACGACTTACAATTTGTCCTCCTCATCGTTCTTTGTCGAAGAGATAGGTTTTGCCTGTTCACCTTCGGCTTTCACTGTTGAAGTGGATGGTTTATCAGTTCGTGACTTCAGAGGTCCAGTGTATGGAGTACCCAGTTCGCCTTCACTGAAGTAAATCAAGGAGCAGTAACCATCAGTAGATGTGACCGTCAAAAGTCTGCCGTCG